TCAAAAAAATGATTTTTGCTTGAAAAATTAATGGCTCTGTGTTTGCAAAATGAAACTTGGCTGTACAGCCTTGTAGAAAAGTTGGAACTCTTGGAGTTGAAATGAAAATGGAATGCACTCTATGGAATGCGCTCCCCAGAGAGGTCTGCCTGGCGCCGTTGTTATTTGTTTTTCGGCGCCAGGTGAAGACCTTTTTATTTAAGCGTCATTTTAATTGTTAACAGTATTTGCTTATTTTATCTGGCCAGGGTGACTTCTTTTATATTGTTATTTATTTTATATTGTTATTTTTATATTGTTACTATTGTATTTTTCTTCATGTTGTGAGCCGCCCCGAGGCTTCAGCGAATGGGGCGGCATATAAATGTTTTAATAAATAAAATAAAATAAATAAAATGGTAATGAAACTTTCCAAAGAATGAACCAACAATGAGATAACCTATTCTGGCAAAGATAGGAAGTGACAATTGAGCTCACTTCAAAACAAAAAACAAAAAAAAAATTGATCACAGAGAATCTGCTGCACATAAAGCAGCATTAAAAATAGTTGCTGAAAGCAAAAAAATGACTCTTGAGATTGTTTTTTAATATCATTATCTCACAAAAAAATAATAACTGCAAAAAATTTTTGAACTGCATATAAAGTAGCAAAGGAAAATCAATCATTCCATCATTTAGAAACTGAAATTGTTCTGCAAGAATTGAACGGAGTTGAAATGGGTCGTATTCTTCATTTTACAAATGCATGTATTAACATTGTTAATCATACAAGTGAAGGAATGAGGAAAACTGTGGTTAAAGAAATTGTTCAATCCAATAATAAAATATCATTGATAATTGATGAATCAACCACAATAAGCAAAAAAACGACCCTCATAGTATGTGCTTCGATATGCTGTATCGAAGGTGTTGGAATGAATTCACCGATTAATTTGTTTTTGGACTTGGTAGAATTTGAAAAAGTAATGGCAGAAGGAGTATTTGATTCCTCACTCCAATGTCTTCACTCTTATGGGATGACAGAAGAGTATTTAAAAAAAATTTGGTTTCTCTGGCTTGCAATGGCGCTGCTGTGATGTTAGGGTATAAAAGTGGAGTGAAAAAACTGCTGTCAGAACGTTTTCCTTCTATTATAGTTTGGCATTGTGCTAATCACAGGCTAGAATTATCAGTAGGTGATGCTGTCAAGGAAACTTCAGGAATAAATAGATTCAAATCATTTATTGATAAACTTTACCCGTCACACACTCTCGTTCGTTCTCTTGGGATGAATTCTCGGTGCAACAAGCTCCTGCATTCCTGGGAGCTTGTCTGTGCTGCAAGAGGCTATGTGCTTACCTTCCAAGGAATGGGTCCCTCTAAGGATCTCATTCCTCATCCTCACAATGCTGCCCTCCTTCCCCAAGACTCGTGTTCCATGACAGCAGAGCAGCTGTTACTCAGGTGTTGGGACATGATTTTTGGTCCCCAGGGGCCTTGTCAGCTGACCTTTCTGCCTCTTCTTGCTTCCCCAAGTCAGCTACCTCAGCCCCAGGGAAACAGCTGTGCTCCCCCAGAGCCAGAAGCTCCTACACTGAGCCCTGCCCTGGCTTCCATCCTGCTGGAGGATAGTCACGCGTGCTGCACCCCCTGCCCTCCGCTACTATTACTGAGCCTGCTTGCTGGGGAATCTAATTTGCTATTTACGAGCATGGGGGAATCACATCCAGGGACTTCCTTATAGCTCTGGGGCGCCCGCAGCTGGAGTACTGTGTTCAGTTCTGGGTTCCTCATTACAAGAGGGATGTAGCAAGGTTGGAATCAGTGCAGCGAAGGGCCACTAGGATGGTGGCTGTTGTGCAGGGGAAGCCATATGAAGAGAGACTGAGGGAACTGGGTCTTTTCAGCCATGAGGAGACTCAGAGGGGACCAGTTAATGGCATACGGGTATGAGAGGGGGTATCACGTAGAGGTGCATCGTGACCTGTTTTTCCCTGTGGAGGAGGGCAGGATGCCTTCCAGTGGAGCAAAGCTCAGGGAACCAAGGTTCAATTGGTTCAGTTCAAATACTTCCAGACAGTTAGGACCTTTGGGGTATGGAATGGGCTTCCACGGGAGGTGGTTGAGGCCCCATTGGTGCGGCTGTTCAAGGATAGGCTGGACATGCACATGGTGGACATGTTATGAGCAGAGCTGGCTGAAGCCGGGGGTCAGACTAGATGGCCCAGGAGGCCCCTTCTGACTTGCTCTGTTTCTGTGTTTCTGTGTTTACGTCATATACCATGCTTTGGCAAAGAATAGTAGAGAGTTGCATTTATGTGCAGAATTACTAGGGGCTGAGCTGCTGAAAATTGGAAGAATTTTAAGTGCCCAATGGGTGTCATCTAGTTTGCATATAGTTTTGGCTGTGTGGAATAATTTTGAATCCCTTGTGTATAATTTTGAAGAAGCAATGCATGATCCTACAAGAGATAAAAATGATAAATGCACTTATGATGGCTTGAAAAGAAAAATCACATCTACAGAATTTTTATTGGACCTAGGATTGATGTGTGACGCTCTCCAAGAATTATCAGAATTAAGTTTGGACCTACAGGACCGCAACATGGACCTGTACAAGGCAAATAAGAAAATAAAAATATTGGTACAAGTTTTTGAAGAAAGAAGACAGAACTTTGGGCCCTATTATAAATGCGCTGTTGCTGCTGTACATGATCTTCGCTTTCGTGGAGTTTTACTTCACAAAAGATTCAAGAAAGGATCCTCCCATTGACCCAAGCACATTTTATACAAAACTGAAAGAGTCAATCGATAGCAAAGACAATGAGTTGGCATATTGGTCTCACGTACTTGATCAAAAACATTGGCCTGAAGGTGTTAATATTCAACTGACATTTGGAGAAGTGGAAATCAGAAACTTGTCAATCAGACTGCAGCTAAATGAAAGAGAAATGATTCGTGGATTCCATGAATACATTCTCAAAAAGAATGTATTTAGAAAAACTGCTCCATATCCAGAAAAACTGTTGCATTTGATGCGGACTCTGAATACCATTCCCATTTCTTCAAGTGAATGTGAACGCAGGTTTTCGCAGATGAATCTAATTGCCACTCCAAGAGCTTTGTTGAAGACTAAGACAATTTCAGCACTTTTGTTCATCAAACTTGTTGGACCACCTTTGAGACTTTTCGATCCTTCAAAGTACATTGATCTGTGGTTACTGAGAGGATGACATTCGGCCATAGATACTAACAGCAGGGAAAGGACTCGAGAAGATTTGTTGGATGAGAATTGGACAAATCTTTGGAATTTACTATGAACTTAAATACAATAAATTAAATTTATGTTAAGAACTGAGTATACAATTTTTAAATAAAAGATTAATAAGATGTGAGTTCCGGCACCTTTTTTCTTACAAAAAGAAAAAAGAAAAAAGCACTGGTCAGAGCATATGGCAATTGCAGCCCAGAATAGCTGCAGGCGCCAGGCTGACAAGAGGCTGGCCTCATGTTCTCAGCTTCCAGATCACCTTTTCCAGAAACCACCCCTCTCCCTTTGATTTATTTCGTTAAAAGAAGACACTAGCTAGCTAAGAATGGGAGGAAACCTTCTAAAAGCAGCCTTCTTTCTCCAGCCTACATTTCCCATACGGTAGTTAGTCCAACAGAGCTGGAGCGCATCTGGCCAGGGAAGGCGATCTAAGGTTTAAATCACCTTTAATGCGGAGTATGAATAGGCAGCTGGCGAGCAGCTTCGTACGTCTTGTTCGGATGGCGAGCGAGGGACGTGCCGCGGAGCGGAAGAGCGCTCAGGATGCTCAGCAGGAGGGCGGGACGGCGGGCAGGAGCGGCAACACCACCTTCTGCAGCTCCCTTCGGGTGGCCCCACCTGGCACGTCCCAGGCGAAAAGCGAGGCTCGAGCACCGCTGCGCTTCAGCGAGCGCTTTCCTCAGCCGCCTCATCCCGCTGCATCGCCGGGGAGCGACCATCCGGTCACGGCGCCACGGTCAACTCGCATATTGCGTTCAGCAAGGCGGCGCCAGGGACCCGGACTCCTGGGAACGCGAGTAAAGGCTTTGGCGACAGAGACCTGCTCCGACCTACGACTCGTCAAGCTGCGCTCCAAGTGGCCTGAGCGAGAGCTGCACCCAGCCCTCTCCGCCCACGACGAGAACCGCGCCGCTCCGCGAGGCGTCGGAAACGCCGCTGCACCGGCGTTGGATTCGCAGGCCTGTTCCAGAGACAGCCGCAGCTCGGCTTGGCGCCCTCGCCCGCAAGGGGCTGCTCTTGCTGGCGTGGTGACTGGGGTGGCGGTGGTGCTGGAGCCATGTGCCGGGGACTCACCCGTAAACCGACGGCAAGACTCAACCCTAGAGCAGGAAGACCGGCAGCAGCGCTCACTGCGTCGCTCGCTCAGCAAGGAGCAAGGGTGAGGCCTTCTCCTCGGTGGCCGCGCCAGCTGCAACTGGCACGGCCGCGCCGCTTTGTTACTCTTTTCCTCCCCAGGCCTCCTTTCTGTTTCATACCTGTTCTAGCGGCTAAACCTGCGGACGAGAGTTGCATTGTTCATCTTCACTGTTTCATTTAACAACATTTATGAAACAATTGCATTAAAAGAAATTTCAAAACACGGGACAGCACCACCGCCAGCATAACATACACATAATAAAAGCAAACCACCCAGAGAGCTTAGGATGTGGGACGGTATATAAATGAAATAATAAAAATGATACAATTATTTTTCTGAGAAGGCTTATTGGAACATTTTCAATAGGCGTGGAAAACCCTAAAGAATTGGGAGCGTTTCCGTAAATCTAAAAATCTGTAGGCACTCCAGTGGTGATTTAAGGACATAATTGCTGCTCTTCTAGCCAATCTAAATAGTCCAACTAACTTGTTCTACTAGCTTAAAAAATTAATTCAATAAACATGCACAAACTTTTAAATTAGGGGCTGACTCATAAGTCAGATGCTCAAAAGTTCTGAGTGTTCTACATCTGCAGCTGACCCCATGCTTACGATGGAACTGGAGAAAGCACTGAGGGTGACCAAGGAGCTGCTTCAAGTAGGTAAGCTGAATATGCTGGGAGAATCCTGCTTTTCAACGTCTGGTGGTCAGAAGGTGACTCTGAGGGAGCTGCACTTGTTTGTTCTTGCTAGCATTCACTTACAGTGTGTCTATACCTTGTCTTTTTTTTTTTTTAAATGCTTCCCTAAAATCCTTTTTAAGGCAAGGATGCTGCATCAGTTTTAAAAATGCATTTTAACACTGAACTTTCTGCTAGGTACATTTACCATTGTGCCTTGATTGCTGGATGAAGCTCAGAAGGTTTCACCATTTTGATGGTTTGGTATTTTGAGCTATGCACAGACTCCCACTGATAAAAACAGCTATAAAACCCGACCAGTGCGAATGTACCTGGCCACAGATTTCCAAATGTCTTTGGATCCTAGGAAGAATTTCGAGTTAATGTAATATAAATGGATAGCTTGTGAACTTATTGTGGCATGGAAAAGGAGAAGAACCTATGTATTTGCAGCCAAGAAATTAAAAGACGCTTGCTCCTGGGGGGGAAAGCTATGGCAAATCTAGACAGCATACTAAAAAGCAGAGACATCACCCTGCCAACAAAAGAGCGTATAGTCAAGGCTATGGTTTTCCCAGTTGCAATGAATGGCTGTGAAAGCTGGACCATAAGGAAGGCTGAACGCCGAAGAATTGGGGCCTTTGAATTGTGGTGCTGGAGGAGACTCCTGCGAGTCCCTTGGAGCGCAAGGCGATAAACCGGTCAGTCCTAGAGGAGATCAACCCTGAATGCTCTTTAGAAGGCCAGATAGTGAAGATGAAACTCAAATATTTTGGCCACCTAATGAGAAGGAAGGCCTCCCTGGAGAAGAGCCTAATGCTGGGAACAATAGATGGCAAAAGAAGAAGGGGACGGCAGAGGATGAGGTGGCTAAATGGAGTCACTGAAGCAGTTGGTGTGAGCTTGAGTGGGCTCTGGGGGATGGTAGAAGACAGGAAGGCCTGGAGGAAGGTTGTCCATGGGGTCACGATGGGTCAGACACGACTTCGCGACTAACGACAACAACAATTTCAAAAAGTTTTAAAAAATCAAGCACTGTAAAATCAAGTCACACAGAAAAGGACCTGTCAAAGTTTATTTGTATTCACCCAATTGGAATCAAGGGTAAAAATGAAAATTAACACTCCATGTTTTTAATGTCATTGTTGGTAAAGGGTTTTTAAGGTTATGAGCCAGAGAGCTGTACTGTCTTAGTAACTCGCATCTGGAGAGTGCTGTGTAAGCCTTCTCCTGAATTTTGACAGGCTGCTTTTGGCAGTTTGCAAGAGCTCTTGACCTGGAAGTACTGTACAAAATACATGGTTCATAATATTGGACAGTGTTTATTACAACAATATAGAACACCAGATGCCTTTTTGCCTCTGACAAAGGTTGAAGTCTAGGATCACAAGTACTATTTTGAACTGCTTAGCCTTTCTTCCTGCCATTACCAGCGGGGGTTCTACTTTATGTGTTTCCGAATGTCTTCAGCATCATCCACACAGCAATTTCCCATTCCGTTGTTGCATCTGCCGACATAAACTTCCACAGGATGGCAGAGTGTATGTCGGCAAACTCCTTTTAGTCTCCTGCATCGTCCTGTGCCTTTAGAGAGATTAGGAGAATGTGTGGTCGATATTAGTCTTGACTCCCAGTCACAAGACATTATATGAAACTAGAGAAAACAAATACATACATGTACACTGGTTGAGAAACAGAAACATAGAAACAGAGTGAGTCAGAAGGGGCTTCCCGGGCCATCTAGTCTGACCCCTGGCTCTAGCCGGCTCTGCTCACAACATGCTTACCATTGTGCATGTCTAGCCTATCCTTGAACACTCTCACTGATGGAGCCTCAACCACTTCCCGTGGAAGCCCATTCCATACCCTTGGTTCCCTGAGCTTTGCTCCATTGGAGTGCATCTTGCCCTCCTCTGCAGGGGAGGTCTCTACCCACCTCTGTGTGATACCCCCTCACATATCTGTATGTCACCAACAGATCCCCCCTGAGTCTCCTCTTCTGCAGGCTGAAGAGGCCCAGTTCCCTCAGTCTCACCTCATACGGCATCCCCTGCAAACCGGCCACCAACCTTGTGGCCCTACGCTGCACTGACTCTAACCTGGCTATATCCTTCCTGTAATGAGGGGCCCAAAACTGAACACAATACTCCAGTTGCAGGCGGACCAGAGTCGTACAGAGTGGTAGTAATACCTTTCTCGATCTAGAAGTCACACTTCTGGCTATGCAACCAAGGGTGGCGTTCGCCCTCTTGACCACCGCATCACACTGCTGACTCATGTTCAGCCTGCAGTCAACCAGCACCCCGAGGTCCCTTTCACAGTGAGAGATTGTGCTTGTTTGTAAGGGCTGTAAGCCATATTCTGAGAGAAGGGACCACGTCAGGTGATGCACTTGCAGCTCAATACCCCTGCCACACAACTCCTTCCATGCAAGAAATTAAGAAATTAATTAGCCTGTCAGCCCATGAAACATGCTTCTATGGTACGGCCATAGCTTTTAATATTAAAGCAAGACACCAAACTCTGAATTATCCTTGATCTCTAGGTGTACAGCAATATTGCCTTCATCCTAATGCCAAACAGTACCAGGATGCAGCAACCATATTTTAACTGCTTAAAAGTCATATATATTTATGAGCTGCCTTTCAGTCCAGTTAGGGCCCCTACAATTACAATTAGAACTTCATAACAACTTAAAACTGTACACGCTTGAAAAACAATTCACAGTCTTTGAGACACTGCATGCATACAAAGAACTGGTAGGTGCATACATGTTTGGTATGCCTTTACTATAGCAACAAGTGACAATTTGCATCTGTGGTTGAGCCTTCAGAAAGCTTGGGCATCACCTAATGCTTCTGAGAAGACAGCTCACACGTTCAATCGTACATGACTGGAGACTGAGGCACACTTTACTATTTCATCCTAGGGTGAGTAAAAGGGTCCCAAACTGTATTAGGACCCTAATGTGAGAAGTACACAGGCATTCACCCTTCTCCCTGCCATGGATCTGGTCCAGACTGGGACCCTGCACCTATAATATATAATTCCTTATAATGATCCAAATACTGGATCTATCTGTTCTTATGTGTTTAATTGACCATATATATTGCAGGTAGCAGGCCCCAACTTGGGTTGGGAACACAGGAGGTTGGGAACTTTGGGTGGGTGGGAATGCTGAGAGAGCAAATGGTGCACATTCAAATAGATCGGGAGCATTGCCCTGTACCTGTTACTCTAGAGCAGCCTTCCCCAACCTTATACCTTCCAGACATGTTTGGACTGCCACACCCAGAATTCCCACTCAATGGCCTTGCTGGATGGGGATTCTGGCAGTTGTCTGAATGTCTCTGAAGGTCACCAGGTTGGGGAAGGCTGCTCTAGAGCTTGTTCTTCTAATGTTTCCCCCCTTTTCTAAGAATGCTTTAAGCTTTTGTCACATTGTAATCTCTTCATCAGATATCTAATTATATTGTAGGGTGCTCTGCCTAATTGAATTTGGCTTGCTGTCTACAACTTTATGCACGCTTACCTGGGTGTAGCTCCTGTTTAGTACAGCTGGATTAACTAATGAGTAAGCATATAATAGGATTGTGCTGAGCAATGTTTTCCAGGTTGTGATGTTTCCTTTAATGTGGGAGTTAATAAGTTGGTTTTTGTTTGTATACCCCTGAAAAGCAGTTTATGAGAACTGCTTTTTGAAGTTGGAACGAAAGCCCATGAGTGATTGTCTCACCATTCCTCATAGGCAGGGGTCAGCAACCCGTGGCTCCGGAGCTGCATGTGACTCTTTCATCCCTCTGCTGTGGCTCCGTTGCTCAAAATAGGCGTCACAACTGCCAATGTGCGACACCTGCCGGCACGCGAGTTATTGAGCTTTTTGACCCCCAGTTGGCCAACCATGGATAAATCCAAGAAAAGAAAAGTTTCAGATGAAAACAGAACATTGAATGGTATGTGGACAGATTCGTTTGCTTTCACTGCTGATGAGACTGGTTTACCAGTATGCTTAATATGTGAGAAATTGGCAAACAACAAAAAATTGAATGTTGCAAGACATTTCCAGAATAAACACACAGCCTTTGCTGAAAAATATCCGGATGGAGATGAGAGAAAAAAGCTATTTCGGAACTGATGCAAAAGGTTGATCTGAGCAAAAATCGTAATTTAAGTTTGGCTTTTTATTTTATAAATACGAGGAGGACTCAAATAGACATTGAGTATTTTATTTGAAAGTAACCTTCACCCCAGCTTTTTTTTTTTTTTTTTTTGGAGTCCAAAATGTTTTTGTTGCATGAAGAAATAAAAATTTGTTTTCTCTGTAGTAGTTCATTGATTTCATAAATGCAACACACTATAGTTTTTTATACATAGCATAAAGGTAAAAAATGATATATGCAGTGTTAGCTTCATTTTAGATGTCAAAAGGGTTTTGTGGCTCACGGTGTTTTCTTTTCTGTGGGAAACGGGTCCAAATGGCTCGTTGAGTGCTCATGACATACATTGGATTGCAGTGTAAGAAATGTGTATATTAGGAAGAGTGCCTACAAAAATGTGCAAGAGTTTTCAGGCAGGCTTGGTAAAAAAAAAATCTGCAAACTGATGTGGCAATAAGGCACAATGAAGTCCTGAAGGAGTGGTTCATTCCTTCGTACTTATGCCTGCTTCAAACAACACTTCTTCTCAGAAAGTGCTTCTGAGAAAAACGCACACAATGCACATACATTTCATAAGGGTGATCCTTGATAATGGCTTCCCAGTGTTTATGCACAAATTGTAAATCTGACATGCATTAGCACTATGTGACAATCTGCATGCAATGTTTTTCTTACACAGAGCACATTTCTTCAGCAGCCTGCAGCCTGGTTGCTCTGTATGCAATGTCGTATCGAAGCTTGCCCTAATATTCTTGTTCCAAAGCTTTTATTAAAATACAGATTTTGAAAATAGTATTTGAGAAAAAATCAGTCACCACAAT